TGAAGACATGCAATTAATCTTTTAGAGGTTTTCATAATACCTTTACAGAAAGAGTTGCCAGTTTGGCGGATTTGGATTTTGGGGTTTAGCACAAGATAAGGAAAATTAATTTTTCATCAGGGTTAATACAAGCTAGCAGGGCCACAAAGGCAGAGAAAAATGGTTTGGGAATTTGTCAAGTGTTGTCACTCTAGAATAATGCTGCTTAACGTCTGATAGGTGTAATCAAGAGTTGAGATTTCTATAGAGGGGGATTAATCAATTTGCGCACTACAGAATGCGGGTTGGTGATACCATTCCTTCATGGGGTTTAAGAATGAAAATAAGATTTGATCTGTCAAATCGCAGGAAGCCCTGACAGTATCAATAGGCATTTTTATCAGTACATTTTAAAGCATTTGTTATAAATAAATTTGTCCTGCTAATGTTGGTGGCAAATAAACTTCATAACAAAACTATCGTCATCGTGATTATGATAGAGTGCAAAGCTTCAGCTCACTAAATTCAGGCAGTATCATACAATTCTGGTCTTAGAATTTGTGATCTCATTTTTGACAGAAAGCTCTTTATGTTTCTGAATGCACAACGCTGACAAGTGAGAGGATGTCAATATTGGCAAACAGCCTTGATTAGTATCAGGGCATGGCTTCTAAAACTCATGGCCTTAGTGAATCACATAATTTCTCTTTTTTGTTAGTCTCCAGTTCCAGATTAAGGAGGTGCAGATTCCTTCACAGTCAAGTTTGAAAAATACTTATTATGTAGATCAGATTTTTTTGTCTTGATCTTTTGAGTTTTGCTTAATTATACACAGTAGGGAATAAGAAAAACATTTTTCCTTCATCGGCTTGCAGACAGAAAATGAAATTCACTTATCTGTAGAGGACTTAAGAGGAAGTTTGCGTTATAAAATTGAAGATAGTCATCAGTCTCAGGTCCTACCATAGGACTGGGGTGAACTGGGAAGTGTTCTACCTGGCTTCAGCACTTTCAGGTTGTAGGAAGCAGGCTATGATGATGGCTAGATGCATCTCTGAAAGATCTAGAGTTGTCCAGTATATCCCAAAAAAGCTCTTGGGGGAAAAAAAAAAAGATAATGTACTTCGACAAGACCTAAAGCATCTCATTCTATTCCTACATGTTTGAATGTGGGGGGAAAGGTGATGTAAGCTAATGAAAAAATAGCATTAAGAAATTAAGTCCTGAAGAAAAAGTTGATTTCAGATGTGTTGGAACTGAGATATTTTTATGCAGAGGAGATGTTAGCAATTCGGCTTCTGTGATTCCGATGTCATTTTGGGTAGCTTCTGCAGTACCATCTTGCTTCACTTACCTGTAGCTTTACTGTATGTTTTATCTGCTTATTTCTGCCTCCCTAGTGAAAGTCTGGAGTCAGCACAGGAGCAGTCCTGTTTGCAGTTATGCCAATCTACCGGTGTTAATATTCTCATACGAACGTGTGGCTCTAAGTAATGTTCAGAGGATTTGTGGCTTTAACACCAGGTGATAAAGCTCTTTATGGGTGTTTTGCTTAAGACTTACTTGTTCATTTGCATTCCCGAAGAAGCCAGCAGTTATCTCCCTTCTAAGTTTAAAGGATGATAATGGTGGCAATTAAAATGGTGGCAAATTAAAAGTGCCATCTTTTAATTTAATACTGTGTAGATTTTACTCATTTTGGTTTTGACACTGCGTGACATCTTTAGCAGCAGTTCCTTTTTTTAGCTGGTTAAGATTTGTTACCTGAGACTTTGTTGTTTCACTTGTTGAACACACACTGACCTAGGAGCCATGTTTTTGGTTTTTGTTTGCCTTGTTTTGTTTTTAATTTAAGACAGACGCCAAATTTTGTCTTCAGTTACAGCCAGGAGAGCTGTGCATGAAACAGCGTATTGCTGTCAGGGAGCTCAAGCCAGCTCAAGGAGCAGTGTTTTTAGAGCAAGGTTATAAAGCCAGGTTTTGATTCTGCTGTCCATTTTTTCCTTTCTTGTTTGCAGGAGCCAGCAGGCTTTGCTCCTTCCCCGTTTCTTACCCTGTGGATTTCCTTTATTGTTTTTTACAGGTTTTCATGCTTCTGAGATGTATTAACTTACAAAAAGTCCAGAAATGCTTCCACCTTCCAGATTGGCATCTGAGAGAATTTTGCAGGCACGTTGTGTTAACACTTGAAACCCACAGACTGGGTTTCAGCCCAGGGTTGGGTCTTGACCTATGAGAAACCCCAGCAGGAAGCATGTCCCACCATATTCCTCATGAATACGAACCCATATTGTGTGTTTATGCGTTTGTTTTGTGTGATTGTGTGTTTCCTGCTGTATTTTGAACAGTTTTATTTGGTGATAATTGAGCTTTCCAGTTAAATATTGGGTGGTTGTTGGCCGTCCTAGCCTTTATGGGAAATGATTGCTTGCTTTTGAAGTCTCCATAATGAGCATGTATGATGTGTTTTGTACCTGAGGGCTTCACTTGTACGCTGTTCATATGTGCAGGAATCATTTTTGGGTTTGGAGAGACACAGTCGCAAGTATTTATGGTTGTTTTGCACAGCAGGCGTTTAGCATAGATTAGCTTTGAACTTCCAATTCTTAGGATTAAATTCCTGCTAGAATTTTTGGTTCTTTTTAGTTTTGTAATCTTCCAGCTGCTGTAAGGTTGGATAAAGGAAATTATCTGACCAGAGCATAAGGCTTATGCTGCTATTTAAATCCTCTTCATTTTAGTGTTATTTCAATACTGGTTTCGTGTACAGGTTTTTGTTTGTGTGCTTATGTTTTCAGGAGAGAAGGGCTGTTGCTTGTTTTTGTTTCTTTTTTGAGCTGTAGTCGAAGACAGACTTTGAAGGAAAAGCTTTATTATTTCCTTCTAGTGACTGATCTCAAAGGTTTATGTACAGAATTTTATGTGAAGCCACGTTTAACGTGGAGCCATTCATTTCAGCAGAGGGAAAGTGAATGTGATGAGAAGTAGAGAAAAGATGCCACTTTCTATTGTTTTCTCACTGTGGATACTGTGGAAGAAGGCCCTTAAGTAGGAAGAGCTTCAGGACTCCCTGTGCCAGATGGTGTTCTTGAAGTGTAGATGGTATGAGGCAGTGATGAAACCAATTTGGTGGGGGTTTGACTTGTGTGGGATTTAAGTTTTCGAGAAGTTGTTGCCTGCATATGCTTGATGATACAGAGTACGTATGTGGTTTAGGGATTTGAGTTGCATGCCAGTGAACTTGAGAACATGAGGATATCCCAGATAACACCTTACTGGGCTACTTCTCTTCAATGGCTGTGGGGAGATGTAGTCACAAGCAGCCTCAGTAGGTGTTCCTGTGGTGTAATGCTGGTAGAGGTGTTGTGATTTATATTTCCACTCAAGATAAGATTTATATTTCCACATGGACCATAAACGTGCTCCCTCTGCAGCCTTGTATTTTGTCTCCTTATCTGCAGAAAACGGTGTCGGATCATTTGACGCCCTCTGGTTAGCGACACAGAGTACAGATGCAGAAAGACTTTTGACTCATCAGTATTTAAGGGAAGGGAAAGAAATTATGTAAACAAAGATGCTTCAATAATTGTTTTTTATTCTTCAGACATGCCTTCCATTAGAGAGCTTTTGAAGGTTAACCTGGGGTTTTTCATGGGCTTAGGCATAGGCCGTGCTTATTTGGCTTGACTCTTGGTGTTACAGTGGTGTGTGATTGCGGGTTAATGAATTTCCACTGCCTGGCTCCCTTGGTGGCTCGGGTGCATCCCAGGGCTGTAAGTGCTGTGGGCCTTCCAGCTGTTATAGCAGCTTGGATCAATGGCGAGTGTGCTCCCAGTTCAATCTTACAATGCAGTGAGCTGCTTTAAAAAGAAATAAATACAGGATTTGCTAATACTAGCAGATTGGAGTTCTGAAGTGGAGTCCAGCTTAAATATAAGTTCTGCTGTTGAAGCCATGCAGAAAGCATGCAGTAATTCAAAGGACTTTACAGAAGCAGAAGTACCTTATCTGTTGTCAGGCTCAAACAAGGTACTGCTTCTGCTGTCTGTTGTTCCATGGGATGTTTTTCAGTGTCTGCCCTGATTTGCTGGCTTGACACAAGCTCAACAATTTCTGGACAATACTCTCAGACATATGGTCTGATTTTGGGTGGTGCTGTGTGGAGCAAAGCTCGGTGATCCTTGTGGGTCCCTTCCAAGTAAGGATAGTCCATGATTCTACAGATTGCCCTTCTGTTTGTAGAGAAAGCTGAACTGCTCAGGCAGAGGCAATGCAAGCAAATCACTTATCTTCCAGTGCACTCACCTTTTATTTGTGCTGTATGTACACTGCAATTAGAGGTGTAGTGGGGAGAGTTAGGGGTCATTGGATCAGAGGGGGAGTGAGGCGTTGTTAGTGCTTGTGAGTGTAAATATTTGTACTAAGAGTGTTTTAAACCAAACAAAAAAGTCCTGGGGGGAAGAGCTGTTCTAAATGCTCCAAACATGGGCAGTGTTGGGGGACAGAGATAACTTACAAGGTTGCTGTTATAGGAACAGACAGCTTAAACATACACTACAAAATAAATATAATACTGGTTTCTGAAGAGAGGTTGGACTTGTAAAGATGAGCAGAGTGTTTGAGCGGCTTTTCCAGCTCTCACGGTTTCCTGTAATGCGTACATCTCTGTGAAAGAAACAAAACAAAAATAATATTAATAACCCGAACGTAGTTCACACGTATCCCCAGGAGGAAGAATGATTTGGAAAGAGAAAAGAAAATACCTTACCTATCTGGGTTTGAACATAGTGGCCAGTAATGAAGTCCAAACGAAGTAGAACATAGTGGCCAGTAATGAAGTCCAAACGAAGTAAAGCATAATTTCCAGGCTGAGCCCTTACACCCTTCTGCAACTGCCCCTGGTTAATAGGCAAATCGATGAGAGCTCGCTGCGCGAAGTGCGCTGATGTCACAGGAGGCTTCTCAGGGCGAGCGTTTGCACTGCGTAGACATTGAGCCGCGTGTTGTGTTGTTGATTTCAGCAGGGGGGAGAGGACGCTGGCTTTTTTCATCCAGAGGGCCAGCCCCAGCGGCCTCAGCAACCTCTGGAGCCGAAACAGCAGCCAGTGCGGAAGGTCACATTGACAAAGGGAATGCAACAGCAGCAGCACCAACAGCAGCAGGCACTGATCCGTTCAGCAGCTCCTCAAGGGGTCAAAAACATCCAGGGAATCCATCAACCTAAAAAGGTGATTTTTAGATGCATATTGCTGCTAGAAGTTGTACTGTTGAGCTGTGTTGCTATACTCATAACTAGCATTCTGTTTGTCAATTACTAGCACAGGGCTGCATGACCCAGGAGATGCATAATTGCATATAAAGCATTTAATCTACAGAGGCCCGTTTGTATCCAGCACAGACTGGTGATGCCTGCAAGTTGTTTTGTCTGATGGCTTTCTGGCCAGCACAGTAGTCCCCATGGGAAAGGCATGTGTCTCATGATAGCTACTATAGGAACGGTATCCAACGTGCTTTCTGACTTAAAAAACAAGAGTTATTCTGAAGTGCTTAAGCTCTTATTCACTAGGGTACGCAACAATGGTTTCAGGATGCTCTTTGGTTGATTCTCAAAGGTGGTGTTGCTCAAAATAGTTGGTGAGCTCATAATGAGGTTTTCACACTCATCACTCACTGGGAGGAGGCAGGCAGATCATTCATGCTGCACTGGTGTGTACTTTCTGTTCGTTTTCAAGCTGAGATGCTCCCTGAAAATAACAGTGATTTGGGCTTTTATTTGTTGGTGTTGAACTGTAAACCATAACCTTCCTGCTTCGTGTAAGGATCAGATTTCCTTGCTGATGCGGAGAGGAAGAGTTGTTGACCTTTGATAGGCTTTCCAAGCATGAATCCTGCTCCAAAAGAGAAAGTGTTGAGTGTTAACTCAGTGTTACGTGTTAATTGTTGAATGTTTGTTACTGTTTCTTTGTTAATTTTTCTTCCTCTAACCATTCAACCTTGAATTTACAAGAATGGTCGCATGTTTCCTGCTCTGGCAAATACTGTAGTTCCAGATCCTATGGGATTTGGGGGAAAAAGGAGCTGTAAAAAAAAAAGTTGTTCACTATACACAGGTACTCCATCCTGTGGATAACAGACTAATGGTTGGTATAATAGAGACTGGAAGCTCTTGGGGCAGTTTGCTGGTCTCGTGTGTACATGAAATTTATCTTTGGACTGAGATGAGAAAAGGAAGAAGAGGTATTGCTGTTTTTGTTGACTAGACACAAAATGTGGGAGCAATCCTTAAATCTTACTGATGTACAGCATATGTATTTTGGTGTGGGACTCTTACTGTCTGGCTAATTATGCTAAAGCTGAGGCTTTTAGCCTTAGTATCTCTAACTCTCCGTCCCTCTAAATTAGGTTTGTATAAGGCATGGATGGATGTGTTAATATGTGACCTTTCAAATAAGCTAACAGCAACAAGCTGTTTTAAGTCGACGTGTACATGAATCAAGTTTTTAAGTAAATTGCTAACTTTCACATCATCTGTCAAACGTAGTTAACAGAAACACTGGGTAAGTAAATCAAAATGCCGTTACTTTTGTTGTTGGCAGGTCATTATGCATGGGAGAGGCAGAGGAGTAGCAGGCCAGATGGGCCGAGGACGCTTGATGCCAAATAAACAGAACCTGCGAGTGGTGGAGTGCAAACCTCAGCCCTGTATTGTGTCAGTTGAAGGGCTTTCTTCATCAACTACTGATGTCCAACTGAAAAACCTGCTGATGTCAGTGGGACCCATTCAGGTAGGTCAACCTTGGTTTATAATTTTTGTGCCAAAAGTCTTTCATTCTGGAAAGCTCAATTAATTCCCTGACACTAAATACAATGTGTGTTTATTGGTAATTCGTGTTTGAAGGCACCCCCCCTCCACACACACACACACAACACCTGATAGCAAAGACAAGCACATGATTATATTGCAGCAGAGGAGGTACAGTAGAATTTTGCTAACCATCACACTCCTGCTGCAAAAGATTCTCCTTCATTTTGGAGTTGTTGTACTGCCTCCATTGTTTCTATATATAACATGAGCACATCCATTCTGTGGGGTTTTGTTAAAGCCAAATTATGTAAGAACAAATATTCTGTTGCTGTTGTTATTGTTGGCTTGCACCTACACTCTATGATTCGTGTTGTTGCAGTCCTAGGGTAACAGTATTTAATGAAGGCTACTCATTTCGGGTGTTACACCATGTAGCACTATCTGCTTTTTCAAATGAAAACACATTCTGGTTCGAAGGATTTTCTGTATTTATTTTTTGGAAGATCTCCCTTGAAGGGGGAGGGGTTTGTAAGCAAGGTTATGACATATGTATGGAGGTGTATCTGCTGCAAAGGTTCCTGAAGTATCACATCAGTAAAACTGACTTTAAGCAAGACCATGAGGCTTTCAAAGCACTGAAGGGCTTATGAGGCCATTCCTGCCTTTTTGATACATTCAAAAATATCACTCAGTGGATAATGAAACATACGGACGATTACAATGGTTTTTTTTAACTCAAATTTTTCCATTTTGGGTGCTTTTTTTGACAGGATCAACATTTTCAGACAAATGCAATGCATTAATTGAAACTATTCAGTTGCTCAGAGACTTGTTTATGAATAAGATTATCTCTCTGCTGTAGAACACAGTGCTTTCCTAGAGATGTACGCTCTGTCTCACTTTTTCCCAATTTAGTAAATGGAATAAAGCTGAATTATTTATGTCGTCAATTCAGAGAGGTTTAATTTGTTTGTGAAGGCAAAAGTACTCTCACAAAATACTTTGTCCCTTCATGTTCTGTAGTACTCGAGGAAATTATTCATACAGTTCCAAAACACGTTTAGTCAGTGTTTACTTGCTAAATCTTGCATGAGAATATTAGAAGGAGATTAATAGAAATCCTGCTAGGAAGCATTCAGAATTGAGAGAAGCAGTTGAGATGTACTGAGAAAGGTTTTCAGTACTTGCTATATTTTTTTAGCAGACTGCAAACGGTGGTTTCTAAATGCAGTGTCACAGACCAGTTTAGGAGGATATGTTTATGGGAAATAAGTAATTTCCCAGTGGGATCTGATATTTGTGTTTCTGTAACAGAACTTGTGTTCTTGCAGTCGTGTCAGCTGTACCTTTGGTAAGTTCTAAATCATCAACTTTCACCTCACAGTGTATATAGAAGTAGTACTTGAAAGAGGTGGCTGAATTAGCTAATGATTCTGGAGGCTGATAATTCTGCATTTCAAGTCAGACTTTGAGAAGTCCAGAAATTTTTCAACTTTTTTGAGACTTATTTTACAAGTGTGGATAGTGAGGTATACAGGGGAGAAGCGGTCCCTTTCTGCATCCTTATTCTTCTTTAGACACTAAAGTAATCATCCTGTGCAGTTGTTCCATGATTGTCTTAAATTTTCTTTCATCAGATGCTTCCAAGCATGAAGTATCAGTGCAAATTCCCAGTATTGCTTTATGAGGATCATAAATTTTGATGTCTTAAGAGCAATTAGTAGTGGAGTGGGGATCTGTTGCTGTGCTGTGCTGTAACTGTGCTGTTATGTATCAGAGGTGATTAGAATGCTGTGATTGTAGTTGTATTTTGAATGCTTTTACAACTATGTGTTTTACTCTGATAATGTATGTAGTTACTGCTTTTCTGGTCACAGAAAGGGAAAACATTTTCCTTGTTGATGTGCTTCTTTGCTTTCTTAGAGTGATAGTGCTACCTAGCGCTCAGTTAGAGGAAAGACAGGTATCTGCACCAATGCTGTATGCAGAGCTGATTTTATCTTTAAGGGTAAAAGGCTTAGTAATGGAAATGACAAGCACATGTAGATGAGTGCGCCCAGAACATGAGTGCTCTTCCAGCATCAGCAGGGTTCTTCTCCATGTGACACAGCTCACGGGGTGCACAGCACTGCTCTGGTGACCTGTTTGTTCTTCATGCCTGTAAAAAAAAAAAAAAAAAAAGACAAAAAAACATTTTCAGCTGTTGCTGCTGAGTCTCTCTCCATTGACTGTGGAAGAAGGCATGGTCAGTCCTGCCGTGTCCTTGGGCTGGGGGAGAAAAGAGCAACACCACAATGAGCCTGTCCAGTTCAGCTGTAGAGCAGTGTGTGAGCTAGAGAAGCTCGTCTTCATCTTCATAGATCATCCCTGTTGCTCATCTCGTTATTGTGAGATTATTGTGCTGCTGTTATCATACAGCTTGTTTGAATACTATTTTTCTGAATACTGGAAAAGAATAGGTTTAAGAATAAAACGTGTGCAAAGGAAGAATTTGGGACCAGTGTGTAGGTCTAAAGGAATATCTGTAGATGAAATGGTCATTTTATAATGTTCATTCTTGAGTAACTGCTAACAGTTCAGTTGTAGATCATGTCAGTGCTTCTGATGCTTTAGAGTTGCTAAATTTAACGTGTTTTTAAAAAAGCTGTAAGCAAGCTCTCAATCAAAAGCAATGAGTGTTCATGAAATTCTGGCTGTTTGCAACTATTTCATTTTCCATCCTACTGAAGATCTGTATCTTCCAGTGACAGTGTCTAAAGAAACAGAAAAAGGAGATAATCAAGATCAATATGAGCTGTGTGCTTCCAAAATCTTTTTCATAAAATACTCCTTCCTGGCCCTACGCATTTTTACTTTTTTAACACTGAGACTGTGTCAGGATGTAATTTCTCTTTTACTACACCAGAGCCAAATGAGAAAATACATAGAATGCCTCTGATCTCACCTTGATCTCAGGCTGGTCTGCAGTAAGAGCCACATAGTAGATCTGGATGCCCTAATCTGTAAACTAACAAGTCATTTGAAATCCCCTAGTAGTTATTGCATTGTCAATCCTTTACACCTGAGTGGATCCGGGCAGGGGTTTTCATTCTCTGATGTCTGACTGAGTCAACTTAAAGAGAAAATGTGAATTAAGTTGTTTTTTTCAGAGCTGTGATGGTTGGAAGGATTGTGATACTTCGTTTTAGGAACTGCTCGTAGAAAGAGGTTGTTGTGGAGTGCAATGTGACAAATCTGAAATCTCCTGTTGAGGAAATTTCAGTGTCCCTGCATTATATGGGCAGAGAAGTAACTCTTGGTAGAAGCAGTGCATCTCCAAAGGCAGTGGTGTGTGGCTGGCCCTTCCCCAGCTTTCCCTGACTGACCTTTGGCACACTGCAAAATCAGCAGTTAATGAAATAATACTGAATTCAGACCAAGGGAAGCATGATGTACACTGGGAAATACAGACTCATGCTTTAACGTTGTAAGGGAGAACATAAGGGAGAGCTTTATTTTAGTGCTAGATACTTGAAAATATGTCAGTAGGAGCATATGAAGACCTGTTTAATGGTCCTAGATCCTTAGCCCACTGCAGCCTACTTGAGACATTTTTGGGAATGTCATGCTGTTGGACAGCTGGCACTTCTTCCAAATGAATGATATTTTTGCAGGGACTTGCAGTAGGACCAGTTGGCATCATTGGTTCAAATGACATATAGAACCTTGTCTGAGCAATGTAGAACTTTGCAAATGTTGCCTGTATTAAGTATTGTCAAGTAGAAATATTTTCTTTGGGATGAAAAAATTTTGTGGTTCCCACTAGCTGTCAGCTGCTGGAGAATTATTTTTTATTATAATTTGTGTTTTTCTGCCCTTACATTGACAGTGGTTTCTCCAGCCTGCTGCCATTGCAGCTCTTTCACTTCAAGGCTGCTCCTATGGAAATTTGTAGGAGGAACGTCCACAGTTTAATGCTTTAGGCAGATCGTTGAGCAGCCATTGAGGCTGATAGCCCAAAAATTAGATTTAACCACTTCCTTTAAAATCATGTCGTTTCTGTTCACGAAATTAGCTATTAAATAGAAAAACTCTTCTCTGAACGTGGAGTAATTTTAACTGAAGGTCATTTTAGCTTCAAAAGCAAACAAGATCTATAGTTAAAAATGTACGAATCTTAGATTAGTTGATTTAGTTATCTATAGAATCATACATAATTCTCTTCAAGTTGCTGTAAAATCTTCTCCAGAATTAGATGAGCATTATGAAAAGAAATCATGAACATTTAAATCTCTCGTGATATGCAATATTCTGCTGGAAATATGAATCAGGTACTTTGTGGGAAGCAACAATGAGACTGAAAACAGATGAGCATCTGTTTTCATACTTGCTCTGCAATGGCTAAGATTATACTTAATGTATTTACAAATAATAAATACTTATACAAGTTAGTTAATGAAATATCTTACACAGGAGTACCAGGAATTTTGGAAACTTCTAGAGCTTTCTTTACAAGTCATCTGGCTACAATACAGTGGGTGGTCTGTGTGGTGAACAGCTTTCCAGGAGGTTATTTCAAGGTGACCTTGTAATGAATGTGTGAGCAGTCAGGCTATCCTGAAAATATGAATGCTGGAAATACTGACTTGATCACTGCAAGGAATGGCTGCCAAATTATTTCAGAAGGGTGACAAAAAACTGGCTTTTAAACTAATAAGGTAGTTTGATTAAGATATTCAGAATTAATTAATTTTGTATGTATTTTCCTAGCATCTTGGAAAAACTTACGGAGTAAGTGTATAAAGGTAATGCCTAGAAAAAAAACCACCTTTGAGGTATAAAATTGTGCAGGTAACAGACTAAATCAGTTTCATCAGAATATTGCTGTTAGCATCACTTAAGTGCAAGATCTAAGCTAGGTATCATCCAGAATTCAAGGAGACAGAAATCATCCACTAAGATGAATATGCAGCTATTTTATTTCAGGTTGCCACTGAAGTGGAACACTTGTTTGTATTCCCGGCCGATAGCCCATCTGTTCAGGCTCAGGATAGCAGCAGGTCAGGACCTACACACTCCAGCAAAATTGTACTGACTTGTTCTGTGCCTGACAATCAGCACTGTTGTTCCTTTAACCATGTAAGCGTAAAGTTCAGGCTTTAAGCTGCAACGTAAGGGAGTCTGTGTTGTCTCAAAATGACAGCAGACCTTCTCAAGAGACTTCTGTGAGCAGGTATGAATGCAAGGTAAGATAGGTAATAATTTGTTTGAAAACACGATGTTGATCGTGTCCCGTGTTGAGGTATTAAATGTTGTCAGCAAAGGTATTGTGCTGGTATTGCAAGCTATGGTGTTCATAGAGTCCAAGTAAATTAGCTTAGTAATTGTCTAATTTCTTCCTTGCTAAAACAAGATGAAAATTTTTTTAATACCTTAACAAGACAAACACAAAGTTATTCTGCACCATTTTCTCTACTATAATTTGAGTCTCTTGAAGGCTGAGTATGTTTATGAAAGCTGTTTACTATTTGGATCTGGTAATTTAGATGTAGCTGTTTATGAAAGTAGATTTTTTTGGACAGCTCTTCCATTGGAAGAGGCGCGCCCATCTGTGCCACTGAGGTGGTTTGCATCTGGATGCATTAACCAGGTGAATGTGGGAAAATCATGATTGTTGGAGTTTACACTGGGGCTTTGAAATATAAAATACTGTCAGGGGAACTGAATGAAGGGGGAATTTGTAATGAAATGGTTGCTGCTTCCATTGAAAAATCATCTGAAAACATTTTTTAAAACTTAGCATTCTAGCCTGATAAGTGATATGAAGAGAATGTATATTAACTACAGCTCTGTAGATTATAAGGGACATCTGTAAAGAGGAAAATACAAACTTGAATGCTTCCTTCATCCACTCCAGCAAATAACTCGTAGGAGAACTGAGTTTTTCAAGTTCCTTTTTAGATGCTTGGTTGAGCTTGACAGTATTCACATTGGTAAAAATATACTTAGCTTTGTAATGAGCTTCCTGATTAAAAATCAGATCTGTTTAGTATTTTTTAAAGATAAATTCTATTCCTGCTAGCTTCAACCAACAAACTGCAGTGACTTAGCTGCACCTTTTCTCTTGTAGCAAGCTTTCCAAAAGGTATGCAGTGCAAATTAACCACCTGAACCTTACAGATTTGCTGAATCATATATCTGAGAAAAAAATATGATGACATTTTGTTTTTGCTATCAATAAGTCTAGCAAATAAAGAACATTGCCTTTTTACTTGATTGTTTAGTCTATGAGGCCTGATTTCTTTCAGGTTTTCTTTCTCACTCTTTTCTCAATCATTTCAAATTTGAAGCAGATAATTTCCTTGACTTTTCCTCTGCTTTCACTTCAAAATTGTAGGAAAGATGGAAGTATTAAACTTCTATGATTTTGTGGGGGAGTTTCCTTTTAATTACAAGGGGATGCAAGAACTGCCAAAGTTAATGACTTCAAAATCTACAGATAGATTAAGTTGCAGAAAGAGCCTAAAGCTGCATTGCCTGACCTGAAAATAGAGAAATACGACCATTGGATGCCACAGCTTTTGCTAAATAAGCATGCTATCAATTCGAGTCTTACATGTTCAAAAAGATTTTAAGTAGGCAATCTTAGTAGCACATTTCATCCTGGCATTTGACATCTGGCCTTAAAAAGCTGCATTAGATTGAATGAATAGGAAACACATTGGTTGGATTAAAAATCATTTCACAAAGACTTCTCAAAGTGTGGCACTCTTGATGAATGTATCAGAGTGGGGTTGATTATGGTTTCCCAAGGAACATCCCTTTATCTAAAGGTATTAAGGTATTTATTACTTTTGTATGGCTGTCTTCCATAGAAACTCAGGAGATTCTATGTTTGTATTATTACAAAGACCACAGGACTCTCTGGAGACACCTTTGCATTTCCTGCTGTGGTAGGAAGCATGAACGTGAGTTCTGCTCCTAGGCTGAGGCTTGCTGTAGTTTTGGAGGCCTAAATGCCACATCTGTTTTGTGTTGGAAAATGCTGCTTTCACAGTATGGGAGGCATGCATCTTAGGAACTTTTTCAGGTAGCTGTGTGTGACATGGTTCCTCACTACTGGGAGGAGTTGAAATTGGTGCCCTAAGCCATCTCATCACAAGGTTATTAGTGTCTGTCAAAAGCTCTACCTATTTGTATTGAAATAGTGTGAGGATATACAATCCAGAGATGAAAAACTATGACTTTTTCCTACCATTTTTTTTCCTGTTTCTGCCCTGTTTCGATCCAATAAAGCAGATCAAGTGAATGAATCCAGGTGCTTAGGTGTGAAGTTAAGCTCTGCTCAGTTTAATGCTTCTCATTCAGTTGAGGAAAGTTTGGCTGCGGGGTTTGGTTCATCGGTGTGGATCGGATCGAAGAGTTGTGGTCCTTGCTAAACAAGTGATTGAATTTTCCATTTGGCACAGTGGCTTAACTCATGACAAAGCTCAAACAGCCTCACCTGGGTCCTGACTGAATCTCAGAGGTCTGTTTCCATTTCGTGGACAGCAATAAGAGGTTCTAAGAAAAGAAGAGTGACAATTTCAGTGGGTTCCATGCAAGGTGTTTTTTTAAGTGAAATTCTTAGTGCTCATTAAAAACAGATTTTGATTTTTTTTTCTTACAGAGTTTACAGATGCTTCCTCAACAACGGAAAGCCATAGCAAAATTTAAGGAGCCAGCACACGCTTTAGCATTTCAACAGAAATTCCACAGGTAAGTAATTAAGCACAGCGGGCTTTGGTTTGCTCACTCCCTTCAAAAGGTGAAATTTGTTGCATCTGATCAGTGTTTCTCTTAATCCATTCAAGCATCTGCTTGTTACTGACCGTTGTAGAACCTTCTTGTCTGATCTCTATGCCTAGAATAAGCTTGATTACCAGATCTAAATTTCTTTTAACAGGCACATGATAGATCTGTCCCACATAAACGTGGCACTGATAGTTGAGTGATGTCTGCTGAGAGAATTACTTACACTACCAGAAACATACAGTGGAGCAACACGGGACACAGTGACAAAACTATCAGGTTCTGAAACCTTTCAGCTTAGTCTTTTAAATGCCATGTTGAACTACAGAGAGCAGCAAGGTGTCCTCGAGAAGACCTGAACTTGAGAGGATCTACAGAGGTGGAATTTCTGTTCGGTTTCTTCAGATTCTGTTGTAACCACATGGAGCTACAGTCTTGTTTTGTTTTTTTCCTCAAAAAGCTACAGTGCAGGTAGACACTGTTCTTCAAGATACTACTTTGTGACCACAGTGACTTTGAGATAGAACGTTTACACCGAAAGATGTACAAACTTTCTTCATAGCAAAGAATATTTGATAATGGTTGCTCTTATCTTCAGTGTGAGGTATTTGAATGAGAGCTCACTTTTCTAAACAAAACACGTTAATTACGTTGTATATCCAAGAGCATAGAAGGTATTCTTGCATAGGTTTAAACGTGGTCTACTTCATTGAATAGAAGTATGCTGAGAAACTTTGGAGGTGACACTGGAAAACTGTAGTTTCTATCTTTGTAAATATGTTAAGTCTGTCTCTGCATTTTCTATTCCAATACAGACTTCCCATTTTCTCCTTCCAACTCCGCTTATTCCATAAAACACTGTGTAGGAAATAACATTGCTGTATTTTCCCTTGGTTTTTAAAAACAAGGATCTTTGCCATTCAGTAGCATCCTGGGGTAGTTAACTCCAAGTTGTAACTAAATTGTTTTTAATGATGTTGCCAGCTACAAGGAAAAAAGAAATATTTAGTGGCTCACCTAAAAAAAACCCAAAAAGTTATACAGGAAGAGTGGTGTATTCCTAATAGTTCTTTTCGGCTAGTGTTTCGTAATTGCCTTATGCTTTATTTGGATTAGTTTTTTTTTTTTCCTCTTGAGATTTACTTTGTGACTAATGCTGAACCATAAGAAACCCGTTAACTGAAAGGATTTGGTTTGATGTGTTGTTCCCAATGCATACGAGACTGTAAGGACATTGTGAATCTGCTGGTGAACGTGGCAGTTCACAACAGTACGTGCAAACGTTAAGGAGCTTATATTTTATTCAAAGCAAAACCCATGTTTCCTTTTGGTTAGAACCATTTACATGGTATTGCCAAAGGAACCGTTTTTTTTCAGTTACTTCTGAATAAACTTCTTAAAATGTCATCTTTATATTGGATTGCAGTTTTTAATGAACATTTCCATAGTTTTTAGACTGTGAGCTTTTGCTTCACCCTTTATTTTAGGAATACTCTTGAGCATTCCACCTACTATTGAATGGGGGGACTTAAGCCTACAAAGTTTTGTTGTTTTGGTTTTTTATTTTTTTTTGTCATCTGAACGACCACAGAAGAGCACCACTGGTATGTAATTAAACAACTGTGAGTGGGGTCCAAAACAGGAGGAGGATGAACTAAGCAAGTTTATAGTAGCATAGATACATATTTCTTAAGATCAAATGGTAACCAAAGTCACTAAGACCTAATTGGCTTTCTTACAGTTTTGGTCCAAACTTTGAATTGAGTAGAGGTTGCTAAAATTAATGATTGAGTAATAAATATCACCTAGTCCTCTAGGTAAGAACTGCTTTTTGTTCACTGAAGTAACAGAGTAATGTGGTGCTTTTAATTGCACTGGTGAAAAAATGTGAAGAATACTGTTAGCCCAGTTACAACGCAGTGACAAGGCACAACAACATCAGAACAATATTCATACAGAAGCTAATTTTGTACCTGTTTGTGCAGTTCCCTTCTTATGCATAACACTTAACGTTCAGCACAGTTACTCTGCATACAGTGCTGTTAGTGCTTCAGTTAGACCTAAGCCCAGGACAGAGTCACAGGTAGGAAGCAGGCGGTGGAAGCCAACTGAAGACCAATGCCAGGTGATTGCAGTGACCAGCCCTGCTAAGTGCTCTTTAGTTCCTCACTCCCACGAGCGCTGGGACCTTTGTGCTACTTCCTCAGGTTATGTAATTTTTATTTTTGTTTTTAAATAAATGTTTATATTTAAAACGAGTCATTAAACAGTTATTCACCCCACTGTTAAGACAGCAACTTCTCTGTACTGAGGAGAACGGAAAGACATCTAGGAATGGAGCATTAATAGCGTGTGTCTGGAAATCTGTGTTAGGTGCAAATGCCAGACAGGCCAGCAGCTGAGTTCAGCAGTAGGAACATCTGCAGTTGATCAGCTGTTCTGTCATAAGCAAATGTTGTTGGGGTTAGAGGGTTTCTTGGAGCTGAAGGGTATGGGTTTGATTCAAAAGTCAAAGAAGTTCGCAGAACTTTGTAGAAGTTTGCTCCTGCTTTGGGTTTTGAATCGATCCCAGAGAGGCTGAGGTTCAGCCAACCCAAACAAGTGTTATGAATTTTTATTCAATTGAGTTTTGTTTTTTTTTTTTTTTAAATGTTTTTAAACAATTACAAAAATGGGTGGCTTTGGAACAAAGACTTGAATTGCCTCAGATCTATTTAAATGTAGGAGGCGATGCTAACAATGCTTGTTTAATGACGAGGTGGGTTGTCTTTAAAGGTGGTTGCAGTTATTGCTTGGGCATAGACAGTGTGGGCAGATTGCTGGTGATTTTAACTGCTCACTGCAGTGGCTGAGTATCAGAACTATATGTAGACATCATGTATGTATGTCTATATGTATTTTATTATACACATACATACACACGCTCACCCTTATTGTCACCACTTCTTTCCAGTATCTTAAACTCAGTAGCAACAGTAGCGATTAGGCGAGTCTCTTGTTAAAATGTTTGTGTTTTGTTAGTTCTCAAATCCTTCCTTAACACTGATCTGTTGGCAAGTGAGCAGTTTGAACGATGCATCTCTTCTAGTTCTTTCTGTTGTGTCCCCTCCCAAAAAACCACCGAGGAAGTAGAGGTAAAGCTAAATGAACGTGTTATTTCCATGTTCTCTTTCAGCACATAGTTAAATCTGAACATCTTAAGTTAACTTTCTTGGAAGATCTGTTGCAACCATTATCTTGTTCTTTCTTGATCATGCATTCAAAATACAATGCAAAATGCAAACAAAGCGTTTAATGTAGTATGTAAATATTGAACTTTTGGAATTAAAATGTTACTCGAAGTGCTTACAGTCAACCACATCTTAGCTATGTTAGATTTTTGTGTTGTCTTATCTAAGTTTAATGGATATGGTTCCATAAATGTTGATGTGTTTTCGTGTATATCTTCAAATTTTTATAAAGATGCTAGTAAGTCAATACGTATACCCTGATCTGTGTATTATTTGTCCACCATTCTTATTAGAGTAGTTCTATATTGATTTTAATAGGCGACTCCAGTAGGTCTTATATGGAGCCAACTCTTTTTTTATTGCTTTGTTTTCGTCTGTCACACTGTAGCACTGGCGAATAATTCACTTCATGACTAATCATATTCTGCTTAGAATTGGCCTAAAAGATTGGCCATATGTTGTGGTATTTTAGTAGAATGTTATACATTTAAAAAAAAAAAAAAAAAGGGTTTAAAAAACAGCTCTATTTGTTGAGGGGAAATAGAATAAATAGAATACACTGTCAGACTGAGGCCTGGGCTTCTAGGTTTGTTTGGTTCTGCTGTACCAGTACAGACAGGTCTGCCTTGTAATTCTGTTCTCAAAGTTTGGGCTGTTCTTGTTTTACACATAATTCAAGTTGGTCGTGTAACACTTGTTTTCATCACAATGTTAGCAGCTGATTGTGGCACATACTGTATGGTGAAACCAACGGGAGTGTTTGAAGAGCTGGGTGTAATTGCTGCTAGGTGGGAGGAGGACAGATCCATAGCATCTTCACAGCTAACAGAAACTGCCACGCTGATGGTTTTTCTCCAAGTAGTGATGGAGAGTAAATGTAGACGGGGTGATGGTTCTCAGCCCCCCAGAAAGCTCCTCTATGAGTTGATGTAAGAAGAGTAAATACTGGCACCCTGTGTGCAGAGTATCTTCAGATACAGAATTTAGTCCCCAGTTTAATTCAGAGAATTCACTTCATATTCTCCCCCTCTTCCCTTCCCCCCCCCCCCCAAAAAAAAGGCCATCTAACCACTACAATGTCAATTAGAGGAAGCATTTTAGTTCTTCAGTGTTTGGTCTTCTCTGTAAGGGCTTAGATGAGGCTTGTTTGTTTTTTTAACAAAACTAGGTGAGAACATGTGCACCTTGAGGTCCTTCATAGTTTTTTTTTCCTTACATAATCTACCTCTTTGGCATGAGAAAAATCTTGTCACTTGGTGCAGAGAATTTTAAACGTAGGATATCACCTGGTTAGCTTTACATAGGGCAGTTACTGTATGCACTTCTGTAGTTGCATGAAGTAACTGTGTGTGTGTATGTGTGTGTGGTGTGATGCCCTCATACTTGGGCTGAGAGGGCGGAGGGAGGCTGGGGGTTTCATGTATTGGTTTTGCCTGTTTGACTTACTGGAGGGATTTCCTACATTTGTTTGTAGTATTGTGTTGTTCTGTCCTTCCCCTGCTATTGTGGTTGTTCCCTGGCTTGTGATGCCCAAAGGTAGAAAGCTGGCTTTGCGTGCTCACTGTCCAAGAGACGTTTTTGTTCATGCAGACAAACCTTTTTGAAATCATTTTTTGTGCTTTTTGATTTTTAGCAGCGTGTTGGATGAGAAATAAATGTGAAGGAAACAAATACTGAATGGATTGCAGGAAGTTAGCAGTATTATAAAGGGTAATGGGTCATTTAGGGTAAACGGGGCTTTTGTTTCAGTGCTACCTCAAATAGTGCTTCATTCATAACCATAGTACTGGAAGTATTTGGTCTTTAATTAGTATGAAATCCTAAGGATTTTTATGTAAGGGTTTTTTTTGTAACCCGCTTTTTTTTTTAACATGAAGCTGATTTATATCTACATGAGCAAAGGGCCTTGTGTACAAAACCTGATTCATATTGGATCCTTACGTATACCATCTTCCGGTATCATACGGTTGGGAAGGATCATTTTGTTCTTTGTAATGCTGCTTTTTTAGGGTTGGTTTTTATTTTTGTTGTTTAGTTTCTGGTTTTTAACTACAACACAGTGTCCTTTTTCTATTTCTCTGCTTGCTTTGGTGGAATGTATGGTCCCTGTTGCACTAAACAAAACCTCAAAGGGAAACCTAATCTCAGTGGGCCTTCTAGGTGCCTGTGTGGCTTTCTCACTTCTTGGTCAGACACGTTTTCCTGACTAACTGGAAATGGGCCTTGTATGCACACAGGTTTTCAACAGGTTTACATTCCTTTTCTCATGTAACAGCGCTCAGGTTAAGCCATTTTTTTTAACCCTCTGAATAATTTCAATCCGTGTTACAGATTAAGACTATTTGTGTACAGGAACCTGTGCACAGTTCAGAGGAGCTGTATTGCAAATGCTGTGCGTAGTTACTTGGAAGATCACAATTTGAACAGAGCCTTGCTGTATTAATGTTACATTCATTCCGTGGCTCAGAATTTTCTCTGCATACATCTGATGGTTTTTAACATGCCCTGTGTTTTTTCCTAGCGTCTGCCAGGCTGACTTTGACTTAAGAGTTTTATTTCCATGCATATAATAATAAAAAGGAGGTTTTTTTTTTGCAGGATTTCTTTTCCAGGCACTGACACTTTTCAACTGCTTCATTTCCTAATTAATGCACATTTTCACTTACAGATACACCAAAGACGAGATGCTAATGCTAATTTATTCACAGCTGATCTTCTCTGTCACCTAATATAATTTTTATTGATACAAGGTGCCCTTAGAATAAGTCAAGCTTCTTTTCTCTTCAGGTGCTCTTTTCCTCTGCCCTGCGTCGTACCTCATTTCCGTCTCATTTGCCCCCATTTTTCCATTCCCGTGAGGCTACTTGTATCCTTGTTATGTTCTTGCTCTTTTGACTCCACATTCATCCCTCTCCCTCCAGACTTTCTCCCATCCAACTGCACAGCACTCAGTCATTTGCAGTATTCTGTTTTCTTCTCACCAGTGGCTCTTTTGATACCTGAAGCCTAAATCTCCACGCAGAAGCATAGCAGCCTGTATTTTTCTTTGCAGACTTGCTTACAGTACCTAAAGTTGAGGCCTCATTTGCAGGTGTCAGACCTTAGGAGATGCTGCCCATCCCACAGCTCTGGACAAATAACAATTTTGCTTTGCAGTTTTACTGATGTTGGAGAATTACAGAGTTTTTATACATGCTCTAGCATTTATGCAAGCCAGGAGAAACAGGATTAACAACTCTTTCATCCTTTTTGCTTTTTCAGGAGTTCTGTTCTTGAATTCAGTGATAGTAATAGCACTTTTTTATTGTCACTTAGTAATACAAGCTCTGCCGACACAATTCTACCTCCTATTACTATTACTGAATGTGATCCTTCCTAACCTGTAAAGTCTGAAATGCTGTGTACATTTAGGTGTATTGAGAATCAGAGCGTGTCGCTCTAATCTGGATGGCAGTTTGTTGATTAGCAGTTCAGAATATAAATCCATCAGCCGACTGTATCATTGACTCCACCTGGGGTTCATCCGCCTCATGTTTTCTACAGCATCATCTGCACACTTTATTTCTTGAATGTAAAACTGAGCTATACCAAACCCTCCACTCGCATAAGAGATCTCTGTCGTACTTATTTAAGTGAATGTAAAAGTGGCAACACAAAAATGATCTCGTGCAAGTTCTTATTGCCTGTAATTCCATGTTTAACGTGTCAACGTGCAAATATATTTACTGTACCTAACACTATGTGAATAAAACTTTATCTTCTTCATGTTTGCTTTGTTGTCTTTTGATGTCACAGAATGGCCTGGGTTGAAAAGGAGCACGATGCTCATCCACTTTCAACCCCCCTGCTATGTGCTGGGTTGCCAACCAGCAGACCAGGCTGCCCAGAGCCACATCCAGCCTGGCCTTGAATGCCTGCAGGGATGGGGCATCCACAGCCTCCTTGGGCAACCTGTTCCAGTGCCTCACCACCCTCTGTGTGAAAAACCTCCTCCTAGTTCAGCTACCTGAACTTCCACATTGCCAGAAAAAGCTATACGTACCATATTGTTTTACTGTGTCAGCATCCCCCTGCCCCTACTTCTGCACCAGTGCTGTAGTATGGAGTTCTTCCAGAGCTGTGCAAAGGTGTCCCAGATAAAGAAACAGCTGATGGTCCTGCACTTGGGCTTGTGTGAATCATTGAAAGGATCTTGAGGCTAATAAGGGTCTCATAGCATGAACATAGGAGAAACACTTAAGCGTGTAAAACCTCCTCTACTGTTTTTAGCCATGCTGACGTGTCCAATAAAAGCCTTCTGCTTTCAGATATTGTTTATTTTTATGACATAAAGGAGCTCCCAAGAAGCTCAATATGGTCACCATCAATTATACTGTGCACCACAGGATTAACAGTTGTACAGCACAGGCCAGAAAACAACCTTTCTACTTAAGAACACAGTTGGGATCAGGCATACCGGTCTGCATGACTTTTAGAGTTAAAATCTCCCACCAATGAACTTTAATTTTTTCAGAAGCTGTATGCAGTGTGTGCCAAGGCTGGAAAGCCCTATGTTCAGCTTGAGGCTGATAAATGCAAAGTGGTAGAAGAAATCAATGGAGTTGAAAACTACTTATGGGAGGAATGGAAAGGGAGTGACCAAGGGAGGAATGAACAAGCCTCTAAAATCAAATGTTGGGATGCTGTGCGAAGTGCTGCAAAAAATTGGTCTTGATTGACCTTAATTAATTGGTAACGATTGAGGCTCGAGGAGTTGCAGTGTGCTCACCAAGCGTGGGAGATGCATGAGGGAGGGCTGACGTGAGGAGGAGGAGGATTGAAACACTATACAGGAATTGGATGAGCTAGAGAATTAAAATATAGATAAGAATCAATTAAATCTTGGAGTGCGAGAGCGTCCACTCCACTATGAACAAGTACAGACTTCTGCTGTAAGCTGGGAGTCTTGGAGAAAGAAATAGAGAGCAGTGAGTTAATTGCAGATAGCTGACCAGCAGATCTGGTGAACCGTGAAGAAGGAAGAAAAACCTTTTTAGGATCAGTGGATCAGGCAGTTCCAGAACTGAGACACTTCTATGTATACATGTAATATGAAGAATTAGTGCTGGACTTCAAAATACAAAGCAACCAAATAAACTCCCTCCCTTTGTGCCCTAAGTGGAAGGAACCCCCCAGTAAATATATATATATATATTGTTTAATAGTTCAGCAATCAGAGATTGTTCACTTTTTTTGCTCTCCATGTTCTGCCTTTGAAATACCAGGGCCTTAGATACAGAAAACATCTTCATACAGGTACTTAGAATGGCTTGGGTTGGAAGGGACCCCAAGGATCATCAAGTTCCAATCCCCTGCCATAGGCAAGGGCACCAACCTCCAGATCTGGTACTAAACCAGGTTGCCCTGAGTCCCATCCAACCTTGGGCTTGAACACCTCCAGGAACAGAGCATCTGCAGCCTCTGGGCAAGATCAGTTCAGTGAGAAGTGACTGATCACATGGCACCATGGCTACTTGGTTTTGAGTGTCAACTCTCCCATTCACATTCATTGTTTCACACTGGGAGTCATAGAATCATTAAGGTTGGAAAAGAGCCCTAAGATCATCTAGTCCAACTGCCAGCCCATTACCGCCGTGCCCACAAGCAGCAAAGTCTGCCTTCAGCTGGTAAGGAAGGGTAAAGGTACTAGCCTAGAAAAGCCATTCTGTGGCAGTGTGACCTGCATTGGGAGTGAACTGAAAGCTGACCATTTTCATGATCACTTCTCAAGATATCACTGATAAAAGGACTGTACTTCTATGAGAAGGATTTTAGCCCATCAGCAAAGGGTGGCCCAATGGGTTGGGTTTTCTAAACCAAGTAGTAATTTCTTTGTAAATCTATCCTAAATGTTGACACGTTGTCCTCTATGCTAAGGGATGCCTCCCAGTTTCAATTCCTGCAACCTCTTCAGGCTCTGAGGTTTGCTAGAATGGGCTTGTTTTCATACAATTCTTTGAGCTGGAAGGGACCTTTGAAGGCCATCTGGTCCAACT